GCTCATCTGCAGGCTTTATTTAAGTGGAAAACTTCCACAACAAAAGTCCAAGTCCCTGTTGGTGGTAACCCTATCCTAACCTTACATGTTAGAGGAAGATAAACTTTTTTGGAAAAAATGTCAATTTTTTTTATGTTTGTCCGTTGGAATTATTATTTTCTTTGTTCCTCAAGTATGAAGACATTAGAGAAGGGTTTATGGAGAATGGTCCAAACAATAGAAAATCTGTATGCACCATTGGCAGTTCCCTTGTTCAAAATGCTCTATTCATGCCAGAGATCAGAGAAGAAACAGCAGACGACCACATCGGGTGCTTAAACCTGGTAAAAACAAGAAAATGAGGCAATATTTAGCACATCCTCAAACTGGACAATAAGAGATTGGAAGAGTGTTGACTGGTCTGATGAGTCTCAGTTTCTGCTCTGACATTTGCATGATAGAGTGCACACTTGAACATGACAATGAGTTCACTGTACTCACAGGCGGATCTCAATCTAATAGAGCACCTTTGGGATGTGGTGCAATAGGAGATTTACATCATGGATGTGCAACCAACAACTCTGCAGCAACTGAGTGATGCTGTCATGTCAATATAGAGCTGAATCTCCGATTAATGTGTCCAATGTCTTAATGAATCTATGCTGCAAAGAATTAAGACAGTTCTGGTACTTACAAGATGTACCTAATAAAATAACTGGTGAGTGTATTTAGCATTTAACACAATCTCAGCAACACTTTTGTTTAATATAGAAGGAATTACTTTTCATTGGGTGTCTATATATAATTAGAAGCATTGTTCATATATTCAATATCTCTGGATTTCGTCAAATGCTCTGACTAAATGAAAACTTTGACAAACACGAGTTCTGTTGCTCTTGATGTTGCATTTTGTGGTCTGACAGCACAGTGCAGCCAATTGAAATTTATACCTTGTGTGATGTCACAAGAGGCCATCCAAACCCTGCAGTATGTTTGTGCAGCTACCTGGTTTTGGAGTGGGGGAGTCAGTAAACAGGTAAAATGCTACAAATAGAATCTATAGCCACTTAAGAATATAGTCTTGAGGGAGGACAGCCTGCTCCCAGGTCTGCGTCAGCACTGACCTTTTTACTGTTTGCTGAAGGGATTTGATTTCACCTCTACTTCTCTAGGTTTTACCTTTTTTTTCAACATTCACACATGAGCCATCTGAGGATAAAATGGCAGTTTTGTCCAGGAAGGAGAATCTGTGCTGGTTCAGGCAAAGCAATATCACACACAAATGATACGAAGGAAAAAATGGGTTTTTGTAGATACAAAATTTGCAGCTCACCTCATTAAACAAGCATGACTTATCTTAAATAACTGTATATCATTTTCTACAGCTCTGTTCAGATTCAGGTGCTCTTTGCGCCATCCTCCTGTGAACCAAAGCATATGTGCAGCTAGTTCACCACTGGCTGCTTGCAAATTATAAATATCCTTCCCTGTGACTTGGACACTGAGTTGCCATCTCTTCGCACTTCACTGTCAGCGCTACAGGTTCAAGGCCTCATGAACCTGCAGCGCCCTCTGCTGGCATTATATGGTGTGACCTTAGTACTTATCATTTGATGACTTTGAAGAGACTAACAATGGCACCAACTCAATTAAATTTTATTTATATAGCAACAAATTATAATAACGTTGCCTCAAGGCAACTGTTGTTGTAAAGGCTTTATAGTCTAAGGTAAAAACTCTACAATAATACAAACAAAATTCCAACAATCGGATAAACCCCTATGAGAAAGTGCTTTGGCAACAGTGGGAAGGTATTGCATTAGGTCCATTAATTATGGGCCTATTGCACCATAACTTATGGAGGATTCACTATCAAGTGATTCAGCCCTAACTATAAGCTTTATCAAAAAGGAAAGTTTTAAATACCCAAGGAACCACAAGTAAACCAGCGATCTGAGAGCGATGTGCTTATTGTAATGGTAAGGTACGTGGTCTTTGAGATAAGATGGGGACTGATTATTCAAGATCTTGTATGTGATAAGAAGGATTTTAAATGCAATACCAGTAAGAGTAAGCATGTGGTTAGAAACTATATTTCTAAG